GGCAGTTTTACTGCTAATAGAAACCAGCTACTTGTGATGTGATCCTCCTTGTTCCCCTCTCCTATGAGTGTTGCTGGTCTACCTGCGTGCAATGGAGATGGTCCCTTTCATATATCCCATTAACCAGAGGGGAAGGGATCACAGGTTCCTATGTCTCTCCTAGGTTCCTAGCTCCAGGGATGAAGAATCCCCTGCTCTGATAGCACCTCTCCACCCCCACCCCACCCTCCAGTATGGCCTTCCTCTGCCACTGCTAGCTGATATTCACAGGATGAGGGTTTAGGGTGAACGAGAACATGGATTTCTGTCCTACTAGCAATTTTCTTCAATCACTGCTGGTCTTTGGATATTGGGGATGCACAGTTCTGCCCCTTTCCACCCCTAGATTGTCTAAAGGGTCCACTGCTAGTTCTCCTCTGTAGATCTTAGCAGCTTGGCTGCCTCCTGCTGCTACCATGGTAGAAATAAAGGGTATGTTTACAATGCAGCCTAGGCCCAGGGCTCACACTCACGCTCAAGCCTTACCCCTCTCTTCTTAGTACACACAAATCACACTAACCCAGGGCTCACACCCAGGGTCCCAGAACCTCACAAGGGTGGAGGGTCTGAGTCAAGCCAGGACCCTACTGCTTTGCAGTATAGACACAGACCCACTGGGCTTGTCCTCTGGGAGTCCGACAACACTACGTATTCCATAGTCCCACAGGCCAACTTCCTTTGTCATCTACATAGCCAAGTTTGGCGGATTGTCAAGTTTTCCCACACTGCACTATGAACAAAGGGCTAGAGTGGCCACATTTTGGAAAGGTGCTAGGAAGAGGGTGGTTAAGCTTGGGCCTGCATAGAATCATGGAAGTGTAGGACTGGAAGGGATCTCAATACGTCATCTTAACCAGTCCCCTGCAATCAGGGTAGGACTTAGTAATGAAGTAATAATAATACATAATGCAGTGTAGGTGTTGGAGCTCCAGGGTGAGACCCAGGATTCAAGAAGTTCTAACCAGGGATTACAAATGAGTGCAGACGCTCAAGCCCTAGGTTAACAAACCCAGGGTCTGCTCACTCGAGTTCTGCTAAGCATGGGCTGACATTGCAGCATCTGCTTTTTGCTCAGATGCTATCAGCATAGGCAGGGCTTAGTTTTGCTAGTGGAGAGGGTAACTCCTAATGGTTTTAAAATACAACCTTTTTTACAAAGCCAGGGTCAAGCATAAAGCCACTCTCAGTAGCTTTAACTCTCACACAACTAGTGTACCAAATAAACTTTCACTAACTATTGGAGAGAAAAAAATGTTAGGACTTGTGCCCTGGGAGACTTAATTCTCATTGCCAGAGGCCAGTCTCCATTTTCTACAAGGCATACTCTGTTTGTTAAGACATTTTAGATACAAGTTCATGAGTAATCTGGACTCTTAAATCCCATTCACATTAGTACACAATTGATTTAGAAAATCATTTAACAAGTTTATATGGTTTAAAATGTGTTAAGTTAAACTATTTTCACACTAAGGTTATTGTTCATACTTCTTCAAGAAGCAGCTCAGAGAGGCTTTGCACTGCACTGAATCACAAGTCTGTTCTCCACAAAACCCATTGTTTACATAAATGTTTGACAATACAATACTCAAAGTAGACCCAACAGCAGCTGTATTTGCACTGATTGAGCAGTCATTATGTCACACGCTCGGGCATGTATCTGAACGTTCAGTTCTTCAAATACATGTGGGTGAGCACAGTGTATTTGCATAATCATCTGAGCAGTAACAGGACTATTTACTCATGTGTACACACCTGAATTTGTTGGAGTGTGCATCTACAACAAAATCCCAATTCTTGATTCCTTGTTCAAAAGTAGATGCTCTGCCAATCTTGGGGTGAATTTACATGAGAGGTTTGCTGTAGAACAAAGCCCTGTTCACACAACAACTAAACTGGCTAAAGCTAACTAGTGTTCAGCAGAACCATATTCTAACAAGACCGAAAAAATAGCTGATCTATGTAATGACACAAAGCTAACATTTTCTGCACCTAGCTATTTAAAATTCAGGAACAGAAATCTATCTTCTCCTCTGTCAATGCCATGTGCACTAGAAACTATACTTCCATTTCTATGGTTATCAGATATTAAGCTACCCTCAAGAAATCACAATGTGATTCATATTATTAAGGAAGAGATCATTATTTTTAAATACACAAAGAGCTTTGCACGCTGGAGTTCTTCCTTCTCTATGTTCAATAAACAGCAAAAGTATCTTAGAGCTGCCATTTACAACTGGCACTGTAGTCACATTTAATACACACACACACACACACACACACACACACACACACACACACACACA